GGAAACCAATGCCCTTTAACTGGGTTCAGGACGTGCCAGTTCTGCGTGACCTCTGTAAGTACCTCTGCTTCAGTGCCAGCCCTGGAGACCCTGACACAGCACCTTCTAGACAGTCTATTGAACTCATCAAATCTGTCTTACACGCTCTCCCTAGCGAAATAATCACAGCCCCGAAATTTGACCATATGTGTGCCTAACCTTCCCTTGGAGAAGCTGAACTTTTCCCATATGTTGATTTTTCTCAGAAATAAAAAGACATGGGGGGGCCCACTGGGGAGGTAGCATTACTCAGCAAGCAGTGGTTGGAACCCCAAAGTGCGCAGAAGGCCGTTTGCGAAGCTCGCGGGACGTGGTGGATGGTGGGAAGGATGCCTGCATGTCTGTGTGGGAAAACGAATGGAATTTTCCAGGGAAAAGTTGTAGCCACAGTCTGGTGGGACTAGGGAAGCTGTGCAGAAGTCTCGGCAGCTGTCTGTCTCGGTCCCTTGGTGAGGGGACACAGTACCTGAGAGCGCCTCTGCCATGAACCCCAGGATCCAGGGCTGCACACTCACAACCTTGGCCCTGAGCTTTGAGCACATGTGCAACCCCTCAGCCCCAGGCACTGCCCAGGGGAGCACTGGGGTTCAAAGGTCAAAGACAGGTATGCTTGAGAATTTGATTCCAACCACAGAGGCGCTGGGCCCTAGGTAAGGGAGGGGTGTGGTCAGGAACAGAGGCTTGGGGCCTCCCCTGTTTCTTTCCCTGGGTTTCCCTCCTGTGTTTTCCCCCACACCCGCCCCATTCAAGGGCCACCCGATTAGCCACATTTCCGCAGCCTGCCCACCGCTCACTGGGCCAGGTAACCAAATCCTGTCCTGGGAAACCGACCTGGGCAAAGAGGAGGGCACAGGTCTGACCTACCTAAGTGCATGGGCCTGGCAGAGACCAAATTTCCATCCTGTCTTCAAACTGCACTTGAGCAATGCAGTCATTTCCCTTAGGACGATTTTTAACGTCGTCACTGTTTCATTAAAGGGCTGTATCTTTTTTGTAAGGATGCATTTCTGGGTGTAAGAAACAATTACCGGCCGATCCTAATGATTTCAGCGTTACACTATCATCGCGCATCATTGGCCGTTTTTCAAGGACCCTCCCTCCCCCATTGGCGACCCGCGTCCTTTGTCATCCGCCTGGCCGCCCACCACTCAGGTGGTTTTGCTTCCGTGCCTTTGGGGCATTTCTTCCCCACCCCCACCCCTGCG